TCTTTCTTTCTACCTCATGTCTGTGACTCACAGCTCTGCAGACAGAAAAGTCTGTCTGCATGGACACTTTGGTGAGGTGAGAGTTTCCCTCTCAGCGTGAGACTGTGTGTGTGTGTGAGCGTGCGCAAGTGTGTGTTGCCTGCGGCTGTGAGTAGGAGTTAGACTTGCATGAGCTGAGCTGGTGTAAAACCCTGTCTCGTTAACCCCTGCCTACATCCAGAGAAGACCTGTGGACCTCACTCTGTTCCTCAAACACCACAGGTCCAACACCTGGGAGCAGATAAGCCCAGCTTTGAGCTGCAAATCTCGGTGGAGAAGAATTCCCTTTAAAAAACCCTCCTGCTATAAAAATATAGAAACATCCGGTACTAAAGCTCACAGCACAAGGACGAGTATGTCTCCGATTGGACGATCAGCTAATCCAGTTGGTTTAATTTACTGTCTATCTTGTTTCATCCCCCTGCAGGTTTTTCAAGGTTTATTCTGACACTAAGTAGCAAATAAGGTTGAAACTTATTTTTAAGAACTCTTTCAGTAGCCTAACATGACTAAAATTAGATTCTTACATTTTCTGAGACAAATGTGAGTGTTGCAAAACTGGGTAATAACTAGATACTAACCCTGAACCTATTCCTACCCCTAACCCTAACCCATGTAGTTACCTTATATTTTCCAGTACTTTCTAAAGTAAGTACAGAGTAAGTACATGTAAGTGCATGTACAGTAAAATAAAGTGCAACCATAATAACGAGATTAAACTAATAAACTAGTGTCAACACCAACAGATGATAATGTTCTGTTTATTGTAAGTGCACGCTGCAGTCTTAAAGCTGTGCGGATTGTAATTGGCTGTCAATGATTGTATCGTTCATCAGCTGGAAGAAAATCAACCTGAAAGTGACTTCAACAATATTGTTGTTAATGTTACAGTCATAGGCACCGATTTATGTTTATGCCGGTGGGTGGCCAACCTCCGTAACACCCCCACCCCGAAATGATATGGGCTCATTACTCAGTGTTAAACTAGGCCTACTTGGTGTTCGTTTTTCAAGTCTTTTTCTCCGTGCGATGTTGCGCTTGATGAAAAATTCAGAAACACATGATCTGCAAAGAGTCAAGTAGTCAGACATTCGACAGTCATAAATACTAACGTTAACACACACGGAAAATGTTTAACTGATGCCTCGCAGATGCAAATAGGGTAAATAGCCTAATGTATTGTGTTTTGATTCAAATAAACATTGGCCAGCCGCATATCACATTGTTTATTCAGAGCTGTTGAAACCGAAGATTCACACTAAATAAAACCAAATAATCCACATATAAAATGAAATCAACAGATGCAAGGAGTATTTGAGTCTTTGTGTGCTTAATCTATTAAACTATAATAATCTATTAATAATCTATTCAGAATTTGTATAAAAGTTTTGTTTTTCAGCCACATACTGTACATGCTGCACAGTTTAGGGAATGACATCCGCATATTATGCGGGATTCACACTTGAAAGAGCAATGGACGGGACAAAAATATATGAGAAACATTATGTTCATTCAGGCCAGAGCACACTCATTAATTTCTGAAGCACCCTCAGTATTTAATTCTAGAACCAGGCCTGGATAAAACTGTGTTTAAGCAGTTTTCATTATCAGTAGCTCATATTTAGGCGATCGCATGGAGTTTTATGTGGCAGTAGGCTATGCTTTAAAGTCAGAAAAACTGGATTCTAACTCCTCTGATTGGCAATTGGGTTCAAGAAATCAACAAATATGTCTGTGATTGGCTACATTGCTCAATGTTGCAAAAACATTTAAATAGAGACATTTTGACTTTCATACTCAGACAGCACGACGAACTGGCTGCGTGTTTTCTTTT